AGCTGAAGTCTTTACATGGGACTCCACTGCCCTCTAGATGATCTGAGAGAAAAGTGAGTTCCTAGAATGCTAAAGTAGCTCCCTATTCATTTATTGCTCACTGCAGTCGTCGGCAACTCATAAACCAGGCTCTTTTGTGATACAGAAGGTGGCTGAATTTGTCAAGACAAATACACTGATAATAAAATTGATATATTGCTGTGTGCTACAAATGTGAACAAATAGCTTGTGTGTGTTCCAAGGAGCTGCATTGTGTAAACATGCTGAAACAATAGGTTGTTCTAATCTAAATGGATATTAAGGTTTTCCACTGCCCACAGATGGCTGCTGCTGACCTGGGAGAGTCGAGCAAAGCAATATTAATCATTACGATGCCTCCTCTACTCCCAGAATCCTTAGGCAGGCATGCATGCAGCTTAAGCAGCATGTGGATGGTGGAAGATGGTGAAGTTTTACAGACTCCATATACTTCATCCTATGTTCCCACTATGCAACATTCTCTTACCACCGTGTCTGATCATTAAACCATTGTGCATCAGAGGACAAGACTTGTTGCAAGGGGCAGTGCTGAGGTTGAAGGAGAGTGAGCAGACCTGGTTACGATTACATAACAAACACTGAATGTGTTAGAGGAAATTAATTCAAATGAATTACAATAATATAATCAGGTGTTGGTTAATATGTGGCTGAAATAAATACATTCAATTTTCCCTTGGCTTAATTATATCTTTTAGAATTTCATCCTTGTATATTTTTCATGTATTTTTACAACATTATATTGATTGTATTATCAATATAATCCCTTACTTATTATTGTTCTTCTAAGTATTACTGTTATTATTATTATTGTTGAGGCTGGAGGGGACCTGTGAGCTCATCCTCCGAGAGTTCTCCACAGCTGATTGGTGGAATGAACTGTCCAATCATAATTCGTTTCCAAAGTGGCTTGGTGGTCAGTTTGGATACCTTTCTTTGCTTGAAGTAACCTTACCGAACTATAAATAATTACCGTCTATAACACAGTATAGACATCTTTTTCAGAGCCTCGGTTTTCAGCAACCTCTAATTCTAAGTTGACCGCAGTTTGTATTGTAAAGACACAGCAAATATATCTCCTTTGAGGCGTTCAAAAAGGGAGCTAACAAACGTTAGCATTGGGCTAGCATGACAACCACAAGAACTGCCTTCGTAACCATCGTCTCTTGTGGCTTTGCCAGCAGCAGGTAAGTTTCGGCTCATTTTCAAGATGGAGTCATCGTTGTCGTCTTGATAGAAAAATTAAAATTACGGCTTTTATTAGCGGACAAATTAGTTGTGAATTGAGAGTAAACTGTTGGTAGTCTGTCCGCAAACTGTTAGCTAGCAGGTAAATGGCGCAGGGTCAGGGTAACTAGGCTAAGCTAGCCTTAAGCTAACAGTCTCTAGGGTTGCTGCTGTGTCGCTGGTCCCTGTACGAAAACAGGGAATTAGAAATCCCTTCAAGAGATTTTGTGATCGACATTATAGCGATATAAGTGTTTCGTTCGCATACGCTAAGGACAATGTTTGTCCTCCTTTGGTGTTGTGCCCAGCTCTATTTACCACTCAACACCTCCATATATGGTATTACACTGCTGGCTCTTTTTAGTGTTAATAGAACTTGTTTTACATTTGAAACATTGTCCAAATGAAGGCTGCCTCTTTTAGAATAAACTCAAGTTTATATTTGGACTGAAAAGGGAAGTTAAATCTGCACCTTAAATCTGCTGGTTTTCGTGTGTGTTCTAAGCCTCTGGCTTAAATCTTTTTCTCATGAACTCGCATATTTGAATAGTCATTAATCACCAGAATGAAAGGAGGTTATGTGACAGTAAGTAATACTTTGAACAAATTTAACTAGTGTTTTAAAAATAAATAAATACTAGCATGTCTCTAAGCAAATTTTCTTTTTCAGGCCTCCATTACGGGCTATAGATCCAGGGTTATTTCTCCCTGGTGGATGATGATCGTCATGTCTTCCTCCCACATCCGGATAGTTCACAAATGCCCACAGGAATCTCCACCTACCCTTGCAGGTTATATGTCTTTCTTAAATATATCTCACTTTACACCGTACAAATGTAAATTATCGAGCCACTTTGTGACCAGTTGAGGAGAATTTGTAGTCATCCATCCAGGATAGTATGTTCTTTAACATTTTTCTTTTTTTGTTTTGTATTGAGACATTTTGTTTCTACAAGAGCCCACATCCATCAGGAAATATTATTTTCCTCAAAGGATGTTTAGTCAGGAGAAATGTTAACGTTGTTGTAACACGTCAAAGTGACATCTGCATGTATGGCTGGACCTGAAATATTCCAATAGAACATTGCTAGAAGTATCTCATTGGCTGCTTGGTGTCTTCAAGCATGACACTTTGAAAATATTCACATAACACCCCAGGAAGGTGACACATACTGATCTGACCATCGGCACAATGCTTGACAAAATGTGACTCATCAGATCGAGCGACCACGTAACAATATGGCTAATCTGCGCACAGTGATTGTTAATGAAAACGTGAATGTACTTTTTAAAATGATCTATTTAAAGATCACAAAATAAAGATGTGTTCAAGGCTAAAAAAATCATTAGATTAGATCATGCTTAATTACACATGTAACCTATTAAAACAGCAAATGCAGCTAAGTTTGAAAGAAATGAATATGCAGTTTTTCTTATATGGTTTATCGATTAATTGTGTGTCTATCATTTATGACGGACAGAGAAGCAGTGTATCTATTTTCAATAATTATCCCTTTCAGTGTGGCCGAAGAAATATTCCACTTGCAGTCTGAAAGGCTTTCTTTAATTTTGCATTATTGTAACCTCTCCTACTGACTCATAAGTAGATTTCTGCTTTGGAATGACTGCTCACAGACATACAGTAATAACCTCGGTTCATCTTTTCATGCTGCTTCTGTCCATTTTTAATAGGTGGCAAACAACAAATGTTGTACCACATGGAGTGAAGTATCTATAATGCATGAGTCTCTCTTCCACAAACCACGGGGGCCATTCCTGTTGGACATAAATGATCCCTTAGCCAGAGGTTACCTGCTGATTCCTTGTTTGACTTGCTTAAATCGAAAATGTGGGACTATAGTGGCACAGCAGGCACAGACTTAATATTCTTTTTAAAAAATGAATAGGTTGTTTCTTTATCTCCAAGGGCCCAAAGATAGAAGTTATTGACTTTGCACAGTTTGATACGAACCAGTTGGAAATCCTGCTTTCCCATGTACTTATTAAAGAGTTGAACTGGTGCTTCTAGTTAAATGTGTTACAATATGCAACTACTGTGGTTTAAGAACTTATTTTACGAAAGAACTCTGCTTTTAAGCTTTGACTTAAAAGGAGAACAAATATATTTGTACATTTCCTTTTCTAGCAAATTTTTAATGCCTGCAAGTTGTCTCGCACAGTCACACGTGTCAGAATGAAGGTATGTGAGAAAAGCAATGTGATGCGGTGGGTTGAGATAAGATGCAAACGAAAACCACGATGACGTGTGAGAACTTGTGCGTGGTGTGAAACTCGCCCCTTGGTAAAAAGTTGGGCTGCAGAAATGTTCCATATAAGTAACTTGACTTAAATGGAGCAAGTTCTTGTTAACGTTGAAGGCAGCAAACATCTTGCCTTGCTCCTATTTGATTGATTATTTGTGTTTGAAACCTGTTGATAAGTTACAGTAATTGGATCTGGAGTTATTTCTATAGTGACTTTTTTTTAACAGAACAGAGATTGGACTAAAATTCTCCTCAAGTTACATTTGGTTGTATATCATTATGATTCAGGGCAGCAGTTTTACATCTAAATTATCTGCTGTTTGTTCATAAATGTTTGTCTGGGACATGGCGCTTGGTTTCTGTCTTAATGTTGACTGACAAATCGTCAGGCAAACTTTCTCATTCAGCTTTTTAATTGTTCAAAGGAAATAAAGTACAGTAAGATGTCCCTCAGCAGCCCTCAAACCATGAATATGTAACTTAAATTATTCAACTTGGCCCATCATCAGTGACATTCCTTTGACTGTGGTCACTATAAAATGTTTTTATTCTGATTGTTGCACACTTGTGGTTAAAAATTTGACTGGCAATGGTTGTCATAAGTTGGAAGCAAAATGTGTCAAAACGCATGACAAACGATGTGGTGCATTAGTACTGTGCAGTCTGATCTGTGAGTATGTACACTTTAATAAAACTTTACTGAGCGATGACGTTATAATGGGACACAGAGAGTTACTACGCATGCCACAGCTTTTAACTTAAGCTTTTTTGGATTATGGTTAAAAACATTTATGTACTTCAAATGGGTCTCATTCAAGTCGGTTGAACATGTTCCTGTGATTCTTCTTCTTTTTTTTTTTTTTTTTTAAATCAGTTCAAATGCTACAGAATGAGAGAGTTATTAAGTTGGGTGTAGGCCTACATTTCTTCATTAAATATTCATCCAAGTCTGAAACTCACCTTCAAAAACTAGAATAAGTTCGTTTTAAATCCTGAAGACTGCTGTGTGTGGACCACATGGTGGCGATATATGCTAAACATTCAAATTAACTTGGTTAATCATATATTGTTTTTGTACAACATCATTTTTATACAACATAAGTTGAAATGCTTCTATTCTTAGTTTTCACATTCTCATGCAATCTGCATAGGAAGGATACATATTAACATATCCTTAAATATATAACTGCTGAGCTCCACCAGATGTTTGTTTATTCTCATTTACTAGTTTAATCAACTCCACAAAATTGTCCCCTTGCACGTTGACATCGAACTTCCGTCTTATTACATGAGAACATCCCAACACGTGAAGTTCACATCCCACCATCAGCATCCAGCATTTTCCCTCTCCGTTGGTTTTAGCCCCCCCGCGCCCCCTTTTCCTCCTTCCCTCCCAACCCCAAGGGTTTCGCGAGCGCGCACGCGTACAAAACTGCGTGGGAATGGCTGTTTGCGTGATCGAGGGGGTTGGGCCGCTTGGAGCGAGCGGTGAGCTGCATGAGTTTGTAATGTCCGCCATGTTGGCCATGGCGTATTGAACCGGGTGGAACAGCGGAGCGCAGGAGCGAAAGAGACCGATAGAGAGCGACCAAGACCCGGGCCTGCCCGGCTCTGTTCGCGCTGCTACGGACCTAAGCCTGCCTTCTATCGACCGGCTGACGCTCAGAGACCGTTACAGATTCATCCATGAGAACTCGAAACAGACCTGCTGTTACTCCTAGCAGATCGAATAGATTTATGCTACATCTTTTATAATAAAAATGAGTAAATTGTCGTTTCGGGCACGGGCGTTGGATGCTACAAAGCCCCTGCCCGTCTTCCGCTGCGAGGATTTGCCGGACCTGCACGAATATGCTTCGATCAACCGAGCAGTGCCACAGATGCCAACTGGGATGGAAAAAGAGGAGGAATCGGTATGTTATTGCATTACGGCCCGGCGGCTGGTGGATCAGTTTGAGTGTATTCATACCGCGAGGCGCCAATATGTTGCCTGCGCAAGCTATTGCAAAATGGCGGCCATTCGTGTCGTTTCGTGCACACGACAGATCTCGACGAATTCGGAGTATTTCCAAACCGTACATACTCGGGCGGCGTTTTGAGGGCGCAGCACTATTTTATCTTAAACGTTAGCCTAGTTTTGACCGGCTGTTTTGCCGAAAACGGCGCCCGAAAACACAAAGAAGTCACGTGACCAACAACGGCCCCTCCATTTTGTTGACTTTATCGTCGGTAAAGGCAAGCGGGATAGGCCTCAGACGTGGTGTACTTCTGGTGAACCAACGCCAGGGGGAGACGGAGCCCTCGGCTGCATTTGACAGCTAAGTGTTGACAGCTCCAGTCCTGCCATGTGTGCTCCTCCGGGAGCAAGTTTAGTGGAGAATGTGGAGGCTCCTGCTCTCAAATAAGCTAATCACAACGCACATTCGCATTCACACACGGTGTACTTTGGTCATATTGTGCCTTGACTTGCATGCTATGGTGGAAATGTAAGTTTCAGGGCTTGAATACATCTGGTTTGGCCATCATTGTTTTTATTGACTGATGGAGTGCAGCTGTAATCACTGCAGAGCAGTGTATATTTCAGAGGATATATTTACTTATTTACAATGTGGACTGAATTGTATTCTATGTTATACGTTTATTTATACATTTATCATTATTTCTGTAGCTATCATGCAGATGATTCAGTTAGCTTTGTTTCTGTGAGGGTGTTTGTCCAACATTTTGGTTGCATTTTCTTGTTTATGAAAAAAAGATGCATATGATGTTAAGCATGCAACTGGAATGATCTTTTTCCCTTGAAGCTTGTTAGGGAAACGTTCACTGACCAGACTCATCCGATATATTGCATAGCCATTAACTTCTGCACCTCTGAGATGCCATTGTAGACGGCATGCCAGGAGGGCTCTGACATAGCAGACAGTCAGCAGAAAGCCTGCACCCCTGGCCCTCCCCCACCTACTGTACACATGCACGGTGTCATTACATAACACTGTGACAGAGGAGATAAAGAGGACAGTTTTACTACAAGGCACTGCATGGCTTAGATCCCTGACCCACATCCTGCTCATCAACAATGGAGGGTTGTTATGGCGAGCAGGTGAGAGGCAACACGTGGGCTTGAAAACAAAGTTGTTTGAGTTATGATTTGCCTTGGAGAGTTTGACTTGGATAGACTGTGATTAATCCACCATTGGGATATCGGCTGGATCTGAAGGAATTTCTAAATCTGACATGCAGTGACTGTCTTTGTACGCTTAACATGTCTTTTTAGCTTCAAACCTCAGTTAGTTTAGGTTGAAATGAATCATTTGCACATTTTTCTTCACAAACATCTTGTCGTTTTATTAAAAAATAAACATGTGACAGTTAGTGCTTCTTTGTGGCTTTACGTCCCACAAGTTAAAAATTGGTGTGTTTGAGCTCATGTACATTTTCACAGTGTTACTGTCTGAGTTAGCGAATGTACCACTGATTATCAGAGAAGTTAAATGGTGCATTAAAAAGTGCCCAAAAGCAGGAGAAATGTATTGTTGGGTGGATATTTAATGCAAATATATATGATGTGAACTGAAAAATGCTATTTAAGCATAAATTAAATGGTAGAGGACAAAATTGTTCTGCTCTGCTGTATTGATTGTGAAATAAAAATGTGGTTTTAAGTGTAGAATTACTAGAATTGATCCCATATCATGCATTTCAACTTGCACAAAATCACATTGGCTTTCACTTGATGGAACACATAATTTCAGTCATGTAGCACCTAATGTACCAACAGAAGTGCATTACAATGAGTGGTTATTGATATTCAGCATAAATGATCTGTGGCAGTCATACATCATAACTGACATTACTTATTGGTTTTAGTTGTGGCTCCTGAGACTAAGGTTTTGATTTTTCTCCCTTAAACAGTCCCATGCTGCTGTTTAACTGAAAAACAATCCTTGTAACTCAAAATAAAGAGAGGTGTGGAGTTTTAAGTCATGCTCAGGAGGCACCAGTTTAAATCTGATCAGATAACAGTAACAGGACCATGGCTGACTTAAAACAAAGTCTAAAATGCATTTAAAATGGTCTGGTTTGCTCAGCTTCTGTGACTTAAGTACAATAAAATGAATGCAGTGGCTATTTGAGAGTTTGGTAACAGCTGGTGTTCTCAGTTGATAAATTAAATACACACTTGCAACAAATTGTCTAATGGGAGCACAATTTGTTGACCTACATGTTACTTTTCCTCCCTGAGGTGTATTGGTGTCAGGCAGTTGGGGACAAGTAATGAAGATTAAGTGGACTTATTCTTCTCTTTTAAACCACCAATCATTCTCTTGTGGATGCATTGTTCTTATATAGAGTGATTTTAAATGGCTACCTGTGAGTGTGGAAGATGGCATAACAAACATTGTTCCTGTTTGTTTAGGGCTGCATACAAAGTACTAAAAGTAAGCCTGGAGCCGTGGTTCTAATGGAGGTTAACAAGTGAATGGCGACTGTTTGACGCTTCTCTGGATCGCATTGCTTCTGTTATGGCTTTTGTGGGTTTTTAACTTGGTGTGTGCTGTGTGAATGGCCGTCCTCAGCGCGTCATCTGGTTGGCTTGGCCTGACAATACCTGCAGGAGGCCTTACCTTTGTTGCTATGGCAACCTTTATTGGATTCCATCTATTTCTCTTAGAAACATTTAATGGAGGGAACGTGTGGCGCTGTGAAAAATAGCTTTTCGTTTCTTATCTGCATCTGTAGTTGAGACAGAAAATCAGAACTGCTGTTGTGATGTCTTCACACATTTATTTTTTATTGATGGAAACTTGTAGATGTATTCCTTCCTCTGTGCCTAGACTTATTTAAGGAAGCCAAAGGCATGGAGGACAACTGTTCTGCAGTCTAAGATCCCAATCTAAAGTAATTTCTTTCACGATAAGGCTTCGGGCTTTATCACGTCTGAGACAGACATCTCTAATGGCATGGCAGGTGAATTAACTTTACACGGTTTGGACTTCTCCTTCACTTCTTTTGCACAGATAACAATACGCACAGGCAGTGTAGCTCTGCCATCTTTAGAATAAAAAAGACACTTTTACTAGCAAACCAATTTCAATGCTACAAACCTGTGGAGCTAAAGTGACTCCTTTATATGACTTGTGTATTTTCAAAAATGAGATTTGAAGCAGCAACAGTTGTATATGGTTGGGAATGTGAAAAAATTTGGACAGTTTTGTGATTCTCGTGGTAAAAGAGGATCAGTTGTGGAGTTTGCTCTATAAACCTGCTTGATGGCACAATCAACACCTCATCACTGACTAATGAGATTCATTGTATTTTTAATATAAATGAAATCATTTTTAGAATCCCTTGTTGAGCATGAATGGTAAAGTCGGTCTAGCTGATCCTAACATTCAGCTCTTTGTGTGAATTTTTATAAGCTACATGGATATATGATTCATAGATGTTAGGCGTGGACTTTAGTGACCTGAAATGACTTCTCACCGCCACTCACAAAAGCCCTTTATCTCCATTTGCCCAATGCTTCAGCGGAGGAAATCCCAGGCTGAGAATGAGTGATCACAGCTGTGAAAGATCAGGATGCTTGCAGGTCAGGTGGGGGTTAGGGCAGCCCGCTGCAAGCTGTGAAGACGGTATGCTTCACAAAGGCTGCACAGACAGGTCTAGACCCAGTACAGGTTTAATTGGCTCCATACCTGCAGGTTCCTTAACTCGCACCCTTTAGGTTAATCCGTCTGTCAGGCAGTGAGCTGATGTGGATCATCATTTATGGCAGGAACCGAGAAATTTAAATGGGAACAGATTTGAGCTGTCTTAGACTTGCATGGGGTTTGGACGTACGTTTTTCTAGTCGTTCAGTTATTTCTGCTTGTGCATCAGGTTTCTAATAAACCTAGCTTTCTTCTGTCCTGTGCTCCACTGTCGGGAAATCGAGGATTATGTGTACACAAAGTGGACTTTTACACATGTTAAATGTGCATGATTCTGCTGCCATCGATCCACATTTTCTAGTGTTACAGTTTGCTCGGATATGCTTTAACTCAAAGCTTTTGCACTATGCTGTTGGCTGGTTGCTGTAATTGCGTAAAACACAGCTGAATGGATCTTGCTTAGACAGTGTGCACAGTTTGCAACAATATTAGTCACCGCATATTGTTTTTTTAGTTTTTTTAAACCTTAGCCTGTGGCTGGCATGAGTGAGCTGTTCAGCATGGTGGTTATAGTCTCACTCAGAGGAGCACATTACCCTAAAATGACAGAATTAGGTAGTTTATTAGTAATTTATTAGTCTTGTTTCCGATGAAGATATTTTTACATACCTGACTGATTAGGCAGTTCAGTCTGTGTATTGTTTGTCAAGTATGGTACTGTATTTGAACCACCTACCCGGGGCAGATGGCTAGAACCTGGACTCATGCTGTGTACTTTCGTGACAACTCAAAGCTGTGATGTGGTTTTCCTGTAGCCCTATACAAAGTTTCCAATGGCTTTGGGTTATTCTTAAATCTCTAATAACTTCAAACTCAGTGGCACTTGTACACAGCTGAATACTTCTCATGGAATGGAAAACTACCAATACAAATGCATCATTTTGGTGCTCAGCGTTTTATTAACACTGACCCATATTTCAAAATTCTGGGCACGGAGCTTGTTGTGAACTGCGTGTAATGTGTAAAATGAGTAGGAGCTCTGTTAGAAGACTTGTTAAAGCAAGATGGGCCTGCAGTCAGTTTGAAGGGATTGGCCATCTGTTGCATCAACCACAGGATCAGCCTCCAAAGCGGGGTATACTACGGCATACGCTGGCATTTGGAAAGAAAATGCTGCCTTTTTTATCCAGATTGCAGGCTAGGGCAAAACATGTTTTCTTGTCAGAACTTCATTTTGTGTTTACTGTTAATGTGCCGGCCTGGGAGTTATGTGATCTAAATCGATACCAAAAGAAATGGCATCCCTATTCTGCGGGAATCTCCATAGCTTTGCATTTTCCTGTTTACTCTCAGATAACGAAATGAAACAAAAGCAGTTTCCCTGCAGAGTTCAAGTCAGGCTTTAAAAAAAAAAAAAGAAAGCAGTTTTCTATTTATTTTGGCTGCGTTCCCAAAATACAGAATGTGCAAAAGCATTTCTGCTAAAAGTCAAGTCTAGTTCTTCACCTCGTGGAGCTCCGGGACTTGTTGCACATTAGAGGCATAAATAAACATGACTTGCTGTGGCGATAGTAAGGATATTTGTGCAGTACTACTGACTCTGAACGCTAACCTTTTCAAACTTAGAGCCACATAATCTGCTGATACTCCCACACTGTTCTCTTACTGATGAATAACTTCTATTTTATTTTGAGGCGCGTACACACACACACACACACACGCATTGTTTAAAAAAAAAAGCTCACATGCATCGAAAAATACCACCTTATTTATACACACATAAATGTAAAAAAAAAAAAAAAAAAAAGATACGTCCGATGGGGGGCACTTCCAATCTGAGTCTTTAATCTTAACTTTAATGTCCTCTCTTCCAGGAGCACCATCTCCAGCGGGCCATCTCAGCACAGCAGGTCTATGGCGAGAAGCGGGACAACATGGTTATCCCTGTCCCCGAGGCAGAGTGCAACATCACACACTACGAGTCCCTCTACCCCGGGGAGTTCAAAATGCCAAAGCAGCTTATTCACATACAGCGTGAGTAGCAGCCTGATCACAGCTGGATTATCATCTTAGGCTGCGTGAGTGGAGTGCTAACATGTGGTAATGAGGCAGGTGCTGGTTCGAGAGATTTGCTTGAGTTTGGCGGTTTTAGCTGCTTTAAGCTGCTAATTTAAAAAACTTGACCAGATGTTATCAGGTCAGTATTTAGGTTCAAACAAGTCTTTATGCGACTGCATACTTTGGTTTATTTACAGTAGCATTTTCTGGCCCCCCTGTTGGGGTTATGGATCTCAAAGGTTTCCCACATTAACTCTGTCTGGGGGTTTTTTTCTGAATAGATGATGATTAAGGTAATTGTCTTCAGAGTTGCATAACACTTGGCTGAAATATAATATATAATTACCACATTACCATATTGTTTTCTACTCTTTAACAGTTCAATGACAAAGTGAAAATCCAGCCTCATCTCACTGTATCTCTACTTTGTAGTGAACACGTATGTCATTCAGGTTTTATTGAAACAGTCTCAAAATACTTGTTTTTCTCAAGTCATTTTATATTCAACTCCAACAATGACGGGTAATGAGCATTAGTTGTTTAGTTTGTAATGGGATAAAACCTAGATGGTGAACAGATGCACTGAAATCAATGAAATTATTTTTAGGACACAAAACTTAATGTGACAGCTCTGTCTGCTGGTTTACAGATGATTGGATGTTTTGTTTGACTTAGTGACACAGTTGCAGGCTGTCATATGTTTTAGATGTGCAGTGGTTTTTCTTTACTTCTCTCGTGCGTTTTGAAATGGAACCAGAACCAAAGTTTAAGACTGGCAGAATGCATCAGATTTGGTCTACAGATTTATTTATCGTCTGTGTTTAGATTTTCTTTAAAGGCTGAAATTTCTTTTCAACAATGCCACTTTGGCCAATTTCTCCTTTAACAAATTCTTTACTTCACAGCTTTCAGTTTGGATACAGAGCAGCCAGACTACGACCTGGATTCCGAAGATGAGACGTTTGTGAATAAGCTGAAAAAGAAAATGGAAATCACCGCCCTGCAGTTTGAAGAAATGATCGATCGACTTGAGAAAGGCAGTGGACAACAGGTACCTGTCAACCTCCCCAACCCAGCTTTTCAACTCTGGCTCTAATGTTGACAGAAAAATCTTGCATGCTTTAGTGTTTCCTTTCCACTGATCTGGTCATCTCAACGATGGACCATCTCCATGTCATTAGATTCTTTTATGGTTGCCAAAAATTTCTATTTAACTGTATGAGACAAAAGCTTGTTAGAAAATCTGACTTTCTGCTTCTGTCCATCACACTAAAATGTACCTGCTTTGCGCTGATCTGGTCTCGTCTTCATTGTTCTTCAGCTCGTCAGCCTCCAGGAAGCCAAACTTCTGCTGAAGGAGGACGATGAGCTCATCAAGGAGGTGTTTGACTACTGGAGCCGCAAGAGAAAAACCTGTAAGGGTGGCTGCCTCATCCCCAGCGTCAAGCAGGAGAAGAGGGACGGATCCAGTACTGGTGACCCTTATGTAGCCTTCCGCCGACGGACAGAAAAGATGCAGACCCGGAAGGTAAATATGGAAATATTACTAAGCCATTTTTCATTTTATTGAAATCAGCAGCTCTGAAAAAATGGTGCAAATATTTGAGGCTTTCTCTGATTCATCGCTCCTCTGTTGCCAGAATCGAAAGAACGACGAAGCATCATATGAGAAGATGCTGAAGCTTCGCAGGGACTTGAGCCGAGCAGTCACCATCTTGGAGATGATCAAAAGGAGAGAGAAAAGCAAGAGGGAACTGCTGCACCTCACTCTGGAAATAGTAGAAAAGAGGTAAGGTTGATGAGTCTACTACCCTTTTAGGGAAGTATGTGCTGTCATGGAGCATTTTTCACTAGTATTTGGGAAACGTTCATTGGACTGGATGGGATGTTTATGTAGCATCAAGTTGTTTTAGGAAATCTTTCTTGTAATGTAATGAAACGGTTCTGATGTCAGGCCCAGAATACCAGAAGTGCGTTGATTGGCCTTGTGCTGAGTCAGACGATTTTGGGTTATTTATTGTTTTTTTTAATCTAAAGCATAGAGGTCCTGTTGGAATATGAGAAGCATCTACACTTTTAAAGTAACCTAAGGCGTCACCGCTCCTGTTAATTGTCGCCTGTGAAAGATGGTGATTTGTTTGCTTGTATATTTCGATATACCGGGAATTAGTGTTGGGAAGTATCCAAATTTTGATTATCTTATATTTAATCCTTATCTCCTATATAAGCGCATTGCATTTATTAAAATGACGGTATTGAAACTGATACTGTTGCTTTTGAAAGATACCGCCGGTATAGCTTATCACCATATTACCACCCAACCCTATCGGTAATGTGTTATATTATTGACTCCCTCCCACAAAAGACTCCTTAGTCTGTAGGGTAGGATTCAAAACTTGTATTATAGAATATATCTTCGTGGAGACACTTTTCTTTTCCAGACTCTGAATTGCTGTTTTATTTCCCTTTGGAGTTTTTGAAATCCATCCTAACATGACATCCGAATGGAATGAAGTTCCTCTGAAAGTAGCTGTCGGTGTGAGCTGAAATTGGACCCCTCTCCTTGAAGTGTTTTTGATTTGTAGTGACATTTCAATTTCCTATTGTTATCCTGGCCTGCTTTCTGCCAGTGCATCACAGCTTGAATTCACTCACAAACTGGACCAGTCTTTTCCGGTGGATGGCTTCTAAACCACTTGATTATACTGTGTTTGTACTGAGAAACCCAGTAATACGTAATATGCTCTGCAGCCTGTCTTTGGCTCTTCTTGTGAACAGAGGTGGATGTTTGCGGTCTGTTGTTGCTTCAGAAGTGAATATCTTATGGAAAGTTACCAATATTTAGTGAACTGTGCACTGGTGACACGTTTCCCATTGTTAAGATAGTGAATAGCTTTTTTTCACCAACCAGTTGAATAGTAACTATTAAAACAGCTTGTTATCAGCTCTGCTCGGTTTCTGATGCTTTTTCTCTGTCTATCAGGAATACAATGACAGATTTTGGCAGCGAGGTGATGGCAGAAGCCCTGGCGCAGCGGGCTTTGGTAAAGCCTGTCTACACCATCCCCATCATTCCCTTACCCAACAGTAACCAGTACAGACACCAGGACCACTTGGATATGAAAGACTACAAAAAGGTAAGGCCACGCACCATTTCCACAGGATGAGGAATCTGTTCATTCTTTTTAGCTTTGAGTGTTGCTGTTGGAACAGAATGCCTGCAGACGCATCAGAAATATCAAGTTGGTGTCCTTCACTTTAGTCAATTCACACATCTATGACGGTAGTTCAATGCAGTGTGCTGTGCAGCATCTCAGCTCTCACTTCAGGGAGCTTAATTGATTAACCTACAACATACATTTTAAAAGAAATGCATTTTCCAAGAGGTTGGGGATTGACTATTCAGATCTTTCAAATATGCCCTTCTTTTGTGTCTTTAAGTCGCACACCCACATGGCAGTTTGGTGCACATCAGGGGCACCGTATCTTTAGGTGAACGGCAGATGAATTATGTGTGTGTGCTTTTAGCAGAGCACTGAGATTGGACTTAGTAGAAGGGGTGGGTCTTTCAGAGGATCCATTTTCCAAGAAGTATCATCTACTTGCAGATCCAAAGTCCCAAGATCAATGAAACATAAGCTAGGGCCGTAAATGAAGAGCTTGTGCAAACACAGTAGCACAGAGACCGTCTCCAAAGTTAGGAAGCTGTCTAATGCAGGTTAATTTTAAACGTTGCAGGAAAACGTTTGCTTAGAGTTGATAGTCCATACAGTTAAAATCGGACTAATTAGCAGTCAGTCTGTCAGGCTTTTACATAATTGGAATATGCACTGGAACGTCCTCCAAATGAAAGTAAACATTAGACATATGTGTTTAAACGTTATTATCCTCCAGTGTCTGTGCTGATGCCTACAAATTGTGAAGCATTTATTGACATAAAGTTGTCACTCTGAAGGCTTCAGTGTTGTCACTTCATTACACGGCCTGTTTGGGAAGTCGTCCCAACTTAATTAGCTCCAGTGACCAACAACTCTCTCCTGCCCTGTGGATAGGCTTTACTTCCCACCTCCTTCCTTTCCTTTGTTCTTCTTACCAGCTGGTTTATTTTCCCCTTTTGTTTGCGCTCGTGTCCACCCCTCCCTCTCTGTTCGCTGTTACCGTTGGTTTGATGGAGCAGTTCTTCAGTTCTTTCTGTTTGCTCTGTCCCCAAAAGACTGTGCACTGAAAAGAGTCTGGCTAATCTTAGTAGACTTGGAGTCTGTTCCCGACGGGGAGGGGTCATCTCACTGGGGAAGTGGGGATGAAAGGTGGCACGGGGTGGATTTAATGGGGGGGAGAGCGGCCATCTGGCACAATAGTGGCATCTGGCACGTGCCATCCATCTGCATATCAATGCCACCAGACTCTTGGCGCACAGACCGTCTGCACTGTGTCACCATACAGCTTGGCCTCGCATGAGGAAAGACTACTTTGCTTACCAAGGCTATAGTATGAACATGTCATTTCCTTCCTGTCTTCAAAGCCCGAGAAGACAGAGGCAGTACGAACCAAAAGGAAATACGAAAAGAAACCCAAGATCCCCCCCCTGTCGGCACCGCAACATTCAGGACCCTCCGTGTTTAATCCCAAGGACCTCAACCAGTATGATTTCCCCAGCTCAGATGAAGAGCCTTTCTCACAGGTGACATTCTTTGTGGCTTACCTTTCATGTTATCACTGTTATAAAAAAAGGTGGGTTTTAGTTTGACAGGATCTGCATTTACTGAGGTTTTTTTGCTGTTTAGATCCATTCAGGTTCCTCAGAGGCAGAGGAGGAGAATGACCCAGACGGCTGCTATGCGTTCAGAAGGAAGGCTGGCTGTCAGTATTACGCTGTAAGTGCCCTCCTGTGACTGCTCTGTTGTTTCTATTTATAGTGCTGAGAGCGGGCCCGTTGGTCTCCCTCACTCTGCCGGAAGCACCGGGGCCCTGACCAGCTTACTCTACTGTCCACTTTTGATGTCTTTATTCATTTTCCTTTCATCTTCCCTCAGTTTCGTCCAGACAAAAGTGGCAGCTGGCCCTGGGTGAGCCCATCTGAAGGCGGGCTCGGCGACCCTCGTTTCCGCTTCTGTCTGACCTCGCTCAACGTGCCACGCCGCTGCGTCGGGCTGGCACGGCGCCGCGTCGGGAGAGGAGGCCGGTGAGTTCAGGCTGGCCACGTGGTTGAACATTCCACGATTTCGATTGGTCGTTTTAGATTCTTATGCAGGCATAGAGACATATTTAGCATTTGACCCAATCAAAATTGAGAGTTTTATCTGCTGCTGTTTGTTACATAAAGAACAAGAGTGATGGGATAAATCCGTACGTTCGGTTTACATGGAAAAAGAAATATCTGCAGGAATGCTGCCAAATCCACCAGCCGAGTGTTGGCTGAGGCAGCTGAGGTTGTTTACCAGCTCTTTGGCAGGTCCCCAGCAACCATTTGGCAGCTTGTTCTTTTATAAATATCAAGCTGGCGGGTAAAATGATGAACATGACAGCCCCAGTGTGCCTGTAGATAGCCAAACAGGAACACTGCTTGTGCTAGTTTCTAACCAGGGTGTATCCTGCAAATATGTGGGCTTCAGTGTTGAATAAAGCATCACACAGCCAGTGGGTTTGAAGCAGAACATCTGGGCTGCGTGGTATCTGTTTAACAGGTAACTTCAGCCCGGCAGAGATCGAAGCTTTTTGCTTCACAATCATTTCTAGTGGGACAAGATGCTTTTTATATAGGACTGTGATGTCGGTTAGTCAATTTTTTTTGTCCTTCTTGGGTCCTTTTTGAACATCTAAAATACGGTTTCTGTTCATTTTGTAAAAACTTGTAATAATGTGCTACAGTTATAATTGTTCCCTGACATCCCTGTCAAAAGGTGTGTCTGTATGGTTGGGATTAAGGCCACATTGTGGTTAATCTGACAACAAAGCGCAAAATTAGAAAATTGTCAGAATTCTCTACATGCCGGAGCCGTGAGGCTGCAGCTGGGCTGTAAACTGCACCCGCCTCCTTACATAAGCCTTTTTTTATGGTCTTGGCAGAACTACCATGTTTTTATAGAAGTTTTTATAGATGTTTTCCACGTATTGTATTTATTTAAACTGAAAATGAGAGTAACAGGACTGCTGAAGTCATGATGCTCTCTCAGTTTTTGGTGTAAGGGGGACAGTGTGTTTTGTTTAAGAACTTCAGATTTGATCCTTTTTCTGCCACTCACTGATGAGACTTCTGCTTTTGTTGCTTTAGGATTTTGTTGGACAGAGCACACGCAGGTCTAGACAACATCTGCCAGAGCCCGGACTCTGACCCAGAACCCGAACCACTCGTCTCACCACTTCCAAGCTCTCCGCTTCGCAACTCCAACACCATTACCTCAGACACCAATACCTCACACCCCAGGAGCTCCTCCCACTTCCCCTCATCTTCATCTACGCCTGTGGACCTCAGCCAGATTCTTTTGAACATAAAATCCTGCCGCTGGAGGCACTTCAGACCACGGACGCTATCTCAACACCCTTCGAGGGAAGGAGACTTGTCTCGCAGAGGATTTAGGGATTTTACCCGAACGCCAGGGGTTACGCGGACCCTGTCCGGGGGAGGCGTCTCTCAGAACCGCTCTGGCCCCTCCGCCACTCCCATTAACGGTGAGTCTGTCCGCCTGGGTTGCTGCTTTTTTACATCCCAGGGAACCATTTCTGTTCTTCACAAGAAACTGATTTGTTCTGATTTTGAGATTTTGTTGGTTTGAAAGGTTAATGACTGTGGAAGTCAGGATGTAGATTTATTCACATTGAATTCGTTGTGATTAAATCTGTGCACCTCTGTGCTTTGTGCTAAAGATAAAAGAAAGAAAGAGACTATCTACCCAGTACATTGATAATGTACAGAGCTCCACCAAATGGTAATCCATTTTCTAAAATCTAGTTGTGATCTTGGTGCACTTTTCTTTGGAGTGGCCTTTGGCTTTGGCTTTACTGGATGAATGACTCTTGTGTTGCTGTGTAACTGCACAAAGTCAAGTTTTGAGTGTTCAGATCAGAGGTCATTTGCTGTCCACCAGTCTGGAGTCCTGTGCTGCGGCTGAATTGTCTGAACGTGCCATCAATGATTGATGTGACACAATGTGATGTTTAAGTCCGGACCTCCAGAAAAAGGAGCATTTCTTCAGCAAAGGTCTGACCAGCACCTCGAATCTGTTAATGCTGGAACAGATTTGGGGATAAACGACTTGATTGTCATGCAGATGTTGGTAACGCAGGAATTAAAGGGTTGATGCTTTAGTTGTTGATTCTGCACCTGTATGTCTTTTAAGTCTAGATACAAACAATAAAACTAATACCAGATTTTCCTAAAATTGAGCAATCTGTTGTAGGCATGGGCGATACATCGAGATTTTAAAATTATCAAGATTTATTCAGGAGTTATAAGATCATTATAAGAGCATATCGTGTAAATCAAAATTGTCAACACTGCATATGAATTATTCTTGTAGATCCACAAACTCCTCTCCATTCTTCCTCATGTCTGTGCCGAACTTCCCCTCCTTCCTCGCCCTCTGAACACCCCTCCCCACTGCGTCATCTAGAAAGTTTAGCATATAGCCACAATGGAAGGCGTGGATGCAAGCACGGGTGGGCACTTGGTGAGCAAAAAAAACAAAACAACAATGGCTCACTAATTTAGAGATGGTTCGTCTTTAAAGTCTCAGACGAGCATCACAAAGATGTGTTTTGTAAAGTGTTTCTAAAGTAAGTGCCGACCAAAAGTTTGAGCGCTACAAACCTCTTCCACCACCTCAAACAGTACCACAAACAAAAGTATGAGGAATGTGTTAAACTGCATGCTGCAGCTCAGACTCACAGCACCTTCGGCACCAAAACAGACAACACTACAAAATTCAGACACCTGTACTACCACGGAAAAAGTGGCGTGAGATACTAAGGCTGTGTCACATTATATCGCTAAAGACATGGTTCCAATTTCAGTGGTGGAACAAGACCGCTTTGTACAACTGCTAAAAGTCCTTGATCGTAGGTACGAGTTACCAAGTCGGAGTTATTTTAGCAGAGAAGTGCTTCCACAAATGTATACAGATGTCAGAGATAGTCTCGCCAAGTTGTCTCACTTCACGCTGACCACTGACATGTGGTCCAGCAGGACCTGCGAACCATACATGTGTGACAATCTATTTTATTGAAAACTGGGAAGGCATTTCTTATGCACACCTACTGGTGTTTAATAAATGTGTCTGCATGTCAGGCAAAGCTTGGACTATGTGAGATATTATTTTTGGTTCATATCACCGAACCCTAATCTGTTGTATGGTAACTGCCATGTTCTCCTGAGTCTGTCTCATTGAGCTTAAAGGTCAAATCACCCTGCTCCCACAGGGTTGTTTTAAACATCTAAACAGAGCCAGCGTGCCCCTTTTGTCCTGATCTGAAAAACCAGCTACTTTACGGTATTCTGATGCCACAAAAGCCAGTTAAAGTATCACTAATTCTTCCACTTCATGCTTTTGGTCCTGGTTCAGAGAAGAAATTTGCTGCTTTATGCAGGACGTTTTTTTCTATTTTCATAATTCGTTTTATTACCCAAGCTTGGTGTAATTTTGTCTTCTTTAGGGGATGTCTTCAAAGTAAAAGGATGCTGTCTTTGAATGTTGTCTTTAAAATTCAATATATGAATTCCTTTTTTTAGATCTGAGCTGTGAATACTGTTTTCCTGCTAAAATTCACTGAGCAAAATACTTTTGTACACACTTTAGAAATGGATGCAAGTCTCCTCAGAAGATTAAACACAATTATACATACATGAAGCTATGAGGTAGAAGCCAGAAAAGGTCGATTTTTGGCTCCACGGTCATCATTTCCCCTCGAAAGAAACTAATCGCATAAACTGATTAACGGCTCTCAGTTTTTAAGATCTTGTTCACTTGAACAATTCTAGAAAAAGATGACATGTTATTCGACGTGTTGGTAGGACAGCTCAGACTGGGTCCTTGTGTAAAAATTGGAAGTTCTTCCTGAGATCACATGTCTTAAAATGTCCTTTTTAGAGGACTTGAAACTTCTTTTGTCCAATCTTTTACACCTTCAGTACTTTGCAACAAAATGACGACAGCTGAGTAATCGGGGGATTGTTGTGGACTCTGAGTCTGTGGAGGGGACTCGCAGACTAGTGGTTACTGGCAGCTTTTAAGGTGAATCGCAGCTTTATAATTGTGCAGTAAATACTAAAGCATTAAATCTCTCTTCAGATCTCTTTACGTTATTTATTTTTGTGTGTGTTTATTTTCATTTTTGTTAGTTGTTCATTGTTGTTAAATGTCCATAACACCTTAAAAGGAAATATATGCCCCTCAGGTTGTTGTCTAGCACAGTCAGGAGCAGCGTACTGAGCTGCGGCAGCGTTAACTCCCTTTAATCCAAACTTTCCATCACAATGCTAGTCGTTACACCAACAAAATATGCAAACCATGCTTTCCATGCTCTGGGACGGCCCTCTGAGCTTTGCCTTTATGTGAGCCTACAAAAAATTTGGATTCATCACAGAAAAAGCAGATTAGCATCTTTTTTTGGCATGATTAACACGTTAAAACAATTAGCTAAACCTGGCTATCCTAACCAGTTTTCCCTGCTTTATCCGGCATGCTACAGATATTGCCCGCTGCCTGAAAAAGCATAGTGTCTTCATGAGTTCAATCAAAAGCGATTGCTTTTTTTTTGTTTTTTTTTGTTTGGAAACCCCCGTTTCTGACCTGTCTCTTGCCCCCTCAGTGTTCACGGCCGAGCAGTACGAGCACCACCGGGAGCAGCTGGCTCTCATGCAGAAGCAGCAGCTGGAGCAGAGCCAGCAGCAGCAGCAAGCCAACGTCCCCGTAACCACAGCCAGCACACAGGTAGGTGTGAACACGGCGCCCCGCGCAGCCCGACCCTCAACCTTCAGCCTGCTCGGAGCAAGCCGCAGCTAAAGGGAGCCCGGTGTAACTCTACGTAGGGCCGGTCAGGGCTCCTTAGTAAAATGGGCCACCTCCTCATTCCCATTAGCAAAATTAGAGTCTCGGTTACCGCTTGGCAGCAGAAGCGCTGAGCTCAATGTTTCATATAATTTGTTCTTTAAAAGTTGGTTTAAATACATCTTTTCTCTCCGTTTTTAATTTAGACACTTGTGTCCAAGACGCTGGACCAGGCCAGAGCACAGTTTGCTGCTTCGGCCCTCATCACCACAGACCAGCTGCTGGCTTTCAAATCCAAAGAGGAGTTGGTGCTGGCAAGTGGAGTCAACGGGGTTTTGACGGGTGCAGGTCAGTACTCTGGTCACTAGAATGCTCTCCAGGCTCTCTGCTGCTGCAAAGCGATTATCAAAACCCAACAAATCAGATGCATGAGGAAGAGTCTGTTGCATAAATATTAAGGCCTGGATTATTCAGATGGCATCGTGACCTCTTTTAGTGGCTGGTTGTTTTCACAGCTGCTGCCTGTTGGGAACCACTCAATGTGGACGTAAAATAACTTAACAAGACAACAATAACAAGATGACAGGGAAATGTTTTTCTCACCGTAGCCATTTTAACAGGGGAGAAATAACCCTTCAACTCTGCCAACAGCAGCACAATTACAGCAGTGTTGCATCAACGAGCCTAAAAGCGCCTCAGAACGATGAGGATGGTTGCAGCTCTGTTGGCTTGGATTGCGTTAGACTGTGCAGGTGTGCCTGTAATGTCAGGCTGCATCCTGCAGGCCAGCCAGAGGCTTCCACCGCAACGCAAAGCTATCTTCGGTTTTCCCTTTTTTGCCCTATTAACGGTGTTGTCGTGCGTTCCTCAGGCGTGTTCAAAAACCTGCACCTCAGCAGCACCACCGCGGCCCTCCACCCGACCAACCAGTCCACACACACTACCGCGCCCACGGCCCCCACCTTCCTGCAGCCCTCCTCCAACTCGGCCACCCCCATGCCCGCCAACGCCGTCCCCACCTCGCTCACCTCCACCCCCAGCGCGCACGCCGCCGCCGCGCTGGGGCTGCTGGGCTGCAGCGCGGCCAGTGCCACCCCCGCCACCACTCAGGTCCTCATCGGGAGCAACATCTGTCTGAGCGTGCCGTCGGCCGCCGGCCTGGCCGGACGCCACATCCCCCGCACCCTGGGCAGCGTGTCGCCCTCTGCCTTAAAGCTGTCCGCCGCCACCAACCTGCAAATACCCAAAGTCTCTGGTGCATCTTCCATGGAAATGGGCTCCAGGTGAGGCTGCTGCTCTGCATCCAGCCCGACGCCTTCATGGTAAAAAAAGACATTGTGTGGATGTTGACGTTTGATTTTTTTTTTTTTCCCCTGAAAAATCCTCCGTTACATGAATGTGTGGCAAAAGAGCCCTTTAAGAAGGCAAAATCTTCCTCCAAACTAAGTATTCTGTGTGTGTTTGAAGCTCACAAAGGCAGATTTTGGGGTGCTGGTTCAATATCAGTTAAATTTCTTCGTACAATTGTTCTTTCAGAGAAAAGAGAGCAAAACGCTCGAAGGCAGTCGCTATACGTTTACTTGTAGTCTCAGCAGAACGCAGTATCTGTCTGAAAAGAGCAGCCGTGATATCCGAGCTTCTCACAGACTCCAGGAAACGCTGTTTAATCCTAATGCTTTTCTCCCCTCAGGGATAATCACGACGAAGACAAGCCAGCACTGAACAGTATAGCCGACAACACAGTGGCCATGGAGGTGACGTAGCGGTGCGGGAAGAGTCCGCTCTTCAGGTGCTGTGCATCGTAGCATCGGGAATGCAAAGGGACAGCAGGACTCTGAGCAGGACGATGAGCAGCCGCTCGCTTGCAATTCTCATCTCTCATACTTCTTTTTAAACCATTTCGTTGTTGTTTTGTTTTTGTTTGTTTTTTTTGTTTTTTGGTCAAAAGTAAAATATTGACTCATGTAAATTATGAATATGGCAAAATTAGTATCTGTACAGTAACTACATATTTGTAATATCCCCCGTGTATATATTACTTGAATACAGAACTGTCCATTTGTGATGTTTTGCACTTGGAAGTCAAACTTAAAGGAAAAAAAAAAAGAGTAAGCCAAGTTAACTTGTGGCGAGTGTGAGAGATGTGAGAGTTGTATAGAGAAGAGTTTTATCACATCATGTGCATGGTGCAGAGCCTGCTGTTTTTATCTATTTATTGTGCTGTGTTTACAGGTTATTTTTGTTTGTTTTGTTTTTGCTTTGGTTTCTTTTTTTATTTGTACACTGTACCTTTCGTTGGTTCCTGTGCTGTAGTAAATGTTAGGTAGCTACGGACTCCTGGGTATTTTTGTATATTGTGAACACAACGCAGGTTCCCCTCCTACCCCTCCACGTTTCTTTTGGGTCCCTGTGCTTCTCTCTGTGGATCATGTGAAAATCAGTGGTGACATACATACAGACCAGGAGGCCAGACGAAACCAAGCGGAGGTGGAGCTCTGGAGGGGAGGAGCGCCTCTCTTCCAGGAGGCCTCCGCCAGCTAAAATAGTCCCAAACACAAGTAACAAAACAGGGATGAAGTCTCTTCCCAGAAGCCTCTGCTTCTGATTTAAGCACTATTTTTTTGTGATGTTTTTTTTTTTTGTTTCGTTTATGATTTTGATAAATATCAATGCTGCTTTTGTATTTCGTTTGTTTTATTTTAAAGGGGTCGTCCTTCATTTTCATGCAAGCCGAGTCCCCCCCTTTATATTTGTTTTATCTCAAACCTTTTTGTAAAACAAAAAAACAGTTATTTTTGTATTTTCTTTTTCTTGTGGTAAACCTGATTGTAAGATTATCTTTATCTGAAAGACTTCATTCTTTTGTTCATTTGTTACTTGTTCATGCATAGGTGATAAAGGGAGGTGAATGGGCAGTAATCACTGTACGTGTTTCATCATTCCAGTTTTTAATATAAAAAATGCTAATGAGGGGTCAGAGAGGCTCTGAGGACATGATCGTTTTCTCCTCTCTCCCTCTCTTTCTTTATGTTCTTTTTTTCTTTGAAAAAAGAATCTCCAGACGGCTGCAAGGCCAAAAACCACAAGTATTGGGTGCCTTCCTTTGGGGAATTTTATGTATTCTCTTCTGTGAAGAGTTAGGCACAAAGGCAGCATTACTTAGTAGTGCTTCTCGTCTTTGTCAGAATCTGAATGCCCAGTCCAATGGCAGGATATATCCTTGAGGTTTACTTGTCCCACCTGGAGGCTGAAAAGACTTCAAAAAAAAAAAAAAAAAGAAAGAAAATGTGACAGAACTCTCACTAAATAAGACAATAAAGCCCAGGGCATTAAATGTGCGCAGCTTGGACTCTGGTGTCTTTTATCTGTTTGTGTGTGTGATGTGCAAAAAGAGGAATTTGAGGTGGTTTATTCTGAATGTAAAAATCTCCATTTATTCATTTAGTCTCAAGACTCTGCCTCCATATGAGGGGGTTTCAAATACCAGGCTGCCTATCAGCTTGACCAGGTTTTCCAGTGGGAAGTGGTCAACACCCATTTGTTGTTTACTAGACGGTATTCTTAATTTTCACACATGCATAATATTTAAATACACTCCACGAATGCCTTTCGAGTTATTTAAGAGGAAATTTTTCTCAGGTGTGATAAAATCAGGATTTTATTAGAGCAGAGCAACAGGAAGCGCAAGGTTATAATGGTCTGACCGCAGATTTTTGTATCCGCTTTATTTTTGCTGTTGGCTTAAACTGAGGTCTGACCTCTTTTTGCCTGTTCTCGGTCACCGGCTTCTTCGTCTGTTTCCAGGACGATATACGTATCTAGCTTTCAAACAGATTATCCGGGTGTCTTTTCCCAGCTTTGAAAGCTTGATTTCTTACAGTTTCATTCAGACTTACAGCAGGTTTGTGTGTCAGACCAACCGAATTCACATGTGGTCGCACCAGCCGTTCATGGTGTGACCAGTGCTCAGATTTACAGAATGAAAAACATAACGTAGACACATTTTAAGGAAAACGTTTTCTTATTTTCTCTCCGAACCCTAATTTGGAGTGCGTTATGTTGACCATTGCATAAAGTGACTAAACGAGGTGTTAGAATTATCAGGAATGACACAAAGTCAATAAACACAAGAAAAATGCTCTCATGCTGTATTCATTAATGCTCAAAACGTGTTTCTCCTGACAAATTCCTCTGCATCCACATCTACCAGTCGGAGGGCCGAAAGCATGCTGCAGCTGTTAACCACTGGATCAGGTATCAGGGGTCAGGGCAGGATTTGTTTTTTTCCTGTCAGGCCGTAGTCTCAGACAACAGGTGCGTTTCAGCTGCCAGAACTCATTACTCGACTGTCCTTGTTCCATTTATTTATTAATTTATTTTTTACTATCGCTGCTTATTCACTGAAATAAAACCCAAAGTATGAGTCATTCTATGTTGCTGCCAACAAACCTATAATGTTTGATACCCCGAATGTGTTTTGCTTCCTTTGTGGTGGTGAAACAAACAGTTTGTTGTGCAATCTTTCAGCTGTTCTGCAAAAGGATAGAGACACACAGGCCACACAGCAGTGGTTGTCCGGTTTTTGTAGTTTTTAAGATGCCGTTTTCAAGGTTTAAATGCATTCTTCATCTTTCAAAAGCATTGGATTGTTTGAGATGGTTTTAAACTGCTATGAAGAAAACAAACCAGTTCTGACAGACATCTTACTAGATAAGAATATCAAAGATGTTTTCAGACAGGCATTTAATAAAAAATATGACAGTGCTTTACAAAATAAATTTGTAAAGCTGTGTCCATCCTCTTGTGGATGTCCACTGCAGTATTCATTGTTATTCATTTATTTCTATGTTGTCCTTGATGTTCAGGCAGAATAAGAACCACAGGCACTGTAGCTCTCTGGTGACACTGCATGGCCAAAGCTCTTTTTATGTGTCTGATCCCCATTTCCTTTCTTTTTGGGGGGCTTTTCCAAGGATTGTTTTACATTGGCACCACTGCTGAGCGGATATTTTATTGTAATATGATCATAATTTAGAAACATAAACACGTCCTGGACCTGGAGTCAAACTGGGCTGCGTTGGATGTGTTTGAATTTAAGTTACTCTGGAGAATGCTTCCTTTTTTTAATTTTTGGCCTTTGGCTCCTGTTAAACGTCTGGAACGTGACACTGTCTCCGTTGCGAGCCCTACACACGCACAGCTGTTCATTTGAGTTTGTCGTCATGTTGAATACGCAACACACAAATCGGGGTTTTCCACTTGTAGCTGCTCGACTCGGCCCCGTTTTTCTGCTTTCTCTGGTGGGACTTTTAGAGATTGAGATCTTCATCAAACACGCTTCAACATCTCAAACTCACGCTGCATGCTTCCACTGATGGCTCTGCAGTTTTTATTTCATGCCAGTGACACAGAGGTCCACAACCACAGCACTCAGGCAGCTGCAGAGTCAATAGAATCGTGTCTGAACTTCCTTTTGCATCACAAAAGGAAGTTTGGCGTGCTAATATCACCCCTCAGACAGACCGTTTGTAACAGTGTTTGGCTCACGGTGCCAGAAATGAGCTGCCACTTTGATGACGCATTCAAATGTTCAAAGCAACAGAGGATCCCATCTCTCCTACGAGCGCTGCCACTCGCAGAAAGACAAACGCACGGCTGAAGGTGACGGTGGGGGAATGTCAGTGACAGACGGGCTCGTTAGTTCTCCTCCATTATGCATCTGAGGGACTTAGCTGTGAGGGTTGCCTGTAGCTGCGTCTGTCTCGCCATTTGGATTGAAAGCTTTTTAAACTGACCATTATAGTGGATATTGAGGTGACAGAAGATATAGAAAAAAAAGATGGTTGGATTATTGTGTTTTTTGCAATGAGAGAGTTCAGAAAACGTAGTTGTTTCAGTATTCTATGCTGTCGAGAAGTGGAAGCATTTCCTGAAACTATAGTAGAAATCTGAAAGGTTTCTTAGTATCTTGTCGTCAAATCTTTTTTTAATCTATTCTGATCCTAAACGACTGTTAATAGAGATAAATAAATGAAGAAATAAATAATTGAAGAAATAAAGAAAGCAAGCAAGAGAAATAGAGAGAAAGGTCCTTGAACAACACTAAATCAGACCTGATTTGTGATGTCGCATACCTTTTTGAGACATTTGGAACAGAATATTTTTCTTGCAAGTGTAAGCGTTACATCTCAAAATCACAAACCTTGAAAGTTCTGTAATGCTGTCACATTTTGAGCGTGCATGACAGTGTTTTGTACCACAAAAAGGAGGATGTTTCATGTTGAAAGGCAGATGTGGTCACACAAAAAACTAAATTGTGTGGCCATTTAACCCTTCTTCAGCTACATTTTGCAGTGTGGGCCAATATCACTGTTATGAAAGCCGGTGTTTGAATGCAAAAATATTCTGCCAGTGCAGTTCCTGTGAATTTACCATAACTTTACTGACATTTTTAAAGTGTTACTAAAACTTTTTCTTCAATGTGTGTTTTAATGTTTGTATAAAAATGACACAGAGGACAAAAGGGCCTTCCATACCAAGCTTTGAAACAGAGCTACCGCATGTTAACTTTTCTTACATTTGGTCACCTTAAATTACCATTTTGTGCCATTACTTTGCTGTTTTTTTCACTTTGTGTCTGATGAAAGATACATCTGAAAGCTGTCTGTCATTTTGACGGATAGGAAAGCGAAGGCAATGTACCATGAAGTGATGTGATACACAGTGACAGAGGCAATTACCACAAAAAGTTGACCTCTTCTGT